CCATGCTTATACTCTCTACAAGCATGTTCAATTCATTTGAGTGAACTGATGCAAATTAACTATGTGAATTGGCATAGATTAAACTGTTGTTATTGTTGTTTTTATAAACTGTTGATACAAAATAAAAAGTTAACGATGAACTCGTATGCTAATTAGCTTATTATTATGCACATTGTAATTTCAAAATAATATCATAATAGTCTACACAGTATGCATGTGTTTAAGTATTAATCGAGTGGCTTACTAAGTCACAACGATATAGAAAAACGCATTGCTTTGTGGGAAACTCATCAAGTATCAACACAAATGTCGCACATCTGCCTCTCGACGACCAGTGCTCTTTAACAAATATTTCAATCCTTCGTGTGCCCTTTCCCCACGTGATCACAGCAACCATTTGCGTAAAAAGTCTGTTATTTGATTCTTTAGATTTACTAGATTTTCGAAAGAAAAATTCTTACCTCCAGTTTGTGAACCAATAATGCCTGCAACTCCAAAATACAACACAATAATTCCATTTCCGCGTGAAAAATTTGTGGCTCCCACCATTTCATTTATACTCATATAAAGTGAAGGCGAGTACACCCCATTGCAAATTCCACAGAGTACACACGAAACAACCATCACGGGGAAAGTGGTAGCTACAGCCATTGTAAGCTGTGATACTCCCAACATGAGAATAAGCATTGGCAAAAGATATAAGGCCCGAATATTATATCTGTCTATACACCATCCTTGAATAGTTTTAATTGCCATGCTCGTAATACCTACTGTTGCAACTAAGAACGTTGCTTTTAGCTCTGTAACTCCAATTTCAACTGCATGTGGTATGATCAGTGAAAGCGAACTGAAGTAAGCCAGAGCTGCGAAAAATGTAGCGAACATCATCAAAGCAAAACCATGATGGGTACAGTGCAGTCGAAAACCAAGACGGTGAACTATTTTCTTGCAACAACCATTGGTTGACTCGTTCGGGTTTGGATTTACTTTGTCTTGGCTGATTACGTTGATTGGACGCATAACTGTGGCACATGCAAATGCATGTGCGTTGATTGCAGACATAACCAAGAATGCTCCCCGCAATCCATATTTATCAACAAACAGTTGGATCATAGGAGAGAACAAGAAATATCCCAAATCACCTCCGAGACAAGCAATCCCTGTGGCAAAGGCAAAACGTTTGTCGAAATATTTTGCAAGAATCGGTAAATGTGCTGCATGCAAAAAAGCATGTCCAATACCTGTTAGGGAGATAGTGTAACTATATCATTATTGTGACACGGTAACTTATACACTGTATACTATATGCAATTCGACGAGAGGAAGAACAATCCTTACGCCTCTAAATGAAATCCATTCGAACAGACAGGTTGTTCTGACGTTACTCTTCAAGATATTCAGTGTGGTTATGTTATATTAATTAGGATTGCAAAACTCTGATTAAAATGTTACTTACCTGTCATGACCCCGTAAGATATGTGAAGATAATGCACCTTAGAAGCAAAGAAACTCAGGAACAATCCGACAGTTGACAGAGTAGCGCCTATAATCATCGCAGGTCTTGTACTATATCTGTCATTGAAATAAGCACCAACGGGGCCTGTGTGGATGGCAACAACATTTACTCTATTCTGTATTTTACTTAAATAGGTTTATCTAGTGCATATTCAATACACATATAAATGTACTTAAATATACTTACACATACACAACGAAAAACCAATGTATAGAGATGTCACCCAAATAGTATCAACGGCAGAATTGTCGGTCAAGGTCGATTGCAGAGCTCGAATGATAACTCCAGCCAGAGAGGAAGTTCCAAACGCCATTAGGCGAACCACCATACTACTAAATAACACACACCACCCCCATCCACCATCTGGAGGATGATCGAATGTCTGAGGCTTCATTTTACAGTACACTATTTCTTACTGTGATACAATAGAGATGAAACAATAAATTCGCTGTTAAATAACAATAACACTACAACTATTTGGTAGAACTGAATTGAAATTACAGTTATTTGTAACATCCTAATTGATTTGAATGCCAAGGCAATGTGTCAAATACCAGAATATACATATATATCTCAAAAATTGTTTGTTGTTGTTTGTAAAATAGATATAATTCCCTCGGAAACATCACATTCACGAAATGAGCAAAATGATGTATCATTCAGTAGAATTTCTGTTTGTAGATGGTCTTACAAGGAGACAAAGACCAGAGTTGCAGATACTGGTAGTGCAAATATAGTCTACAACTCCATTTTTCATTTTTTGCACAATGCAGTCAGACTCCACATGGTATGTAGGTAAGTTAATAATCAAGTAAAGTTGCGAAGAACACACCCCGTATTGTACCTCTAGTCATTTTATGCGCATATTTACTACATGCCATTGAAAGGGTAATGTTGACTTTTCAGAAGCTAAGTGTGTCAAATACCAAATATCTAAATTGTATGTGACTTTTGACATTAGTTCAGAACAATTTATTGTTTTTACACTTCTGAATCTCCTGGCTTCTGATTCTGAGCTTCTGACAAGTCAACTGTCTCTATTGAAGTTAAGTCTGCGATTTCAATTTATGTTTTGGGTTCCGTGCGTGCATGCGTCCGTGCGTCTATCATAATTTCTCAGAGACGCCTGGATAGATTTTCTTCAAAGCCGGTACAAAGACAAGTCATAATGTGCACATCAATTTACTAGTATTTTTGATTTGGTTGACGGACTGCGGCCGTTTTCGTCCCGCGAAACACCACAAATCAACATTTGGATATGTCATCAACCGTTTCTCGGACATGCCTTGACTTATTTCATTCAAATCAAACTTGGCATTGACTTTAGTCATGGTGGGTTTCTGATACACGATACTGATATTCAAATCAAAATGGGGTTCGGTGGCCATTTTGATTTTCACAAGTGTTCTGCTCATTTTACAGATATGATTGTACAGATTTGGGTTATTTTTTTAACAAAGGCAGTTTTCAGTTATTTTTTGTTGTCAACGAAATTTAACCGAATGGCGGCCATTTTCGTCAAAAACGAATAAAATCACAAAATTCAAACATTTCATCAACCGTTTCTTCGACATGCCTTGACCAATTTAATTCAAACTTTGGTTTGCCATCAGTCATAGTGGGTTACTGATACGCTTCATTGTTTTTCGCGATTTGCTTCAAAATGGCGGACTGGTAGCCATTTTGTTTTTTACGAGTGTTCTGCTCGTTGTACAGAGATGATTGTATGATTTGGATTAAATTTGGCAAGATATAGAGGGTTAAATGTTGTGTTAAGTTATTTTTTCGTTTTTATCAAAATTTAGCCGAATGGCGGCTATTTTCGTAAAAAAAACGAATAAAATCACAAAATTCAAACATGTCATCAACGGTTTCACCGACATGCCTTCACCGATTTCATTCAAACTTGACATTGACTCAGTCATAGTGCGTTACTGATGCACTTCATTTCATTTCGTGATTTAATTCAAAATAGGCGACTGGTGGCCATTTTTTTTTTTCATGAGTGCCCATTTTACAGAGATGATTGGGTTTTAATTTGGCACGAAGGCAAGATATAATGGG